GACCCCTGAGGATATCAAAATCCATGGATGCTCAATACCCTGATGCAAGATGGTGTAATACAGTCGGCCCTCCGTGTCCACGGGTTCAATTGAAACTCACGGATATAGAGGGCTGACTGTACATCCTTTCTTTCCCATGCATCTCACACTTAATGTGGGCCAATACATATTACTTGGCTGACTAATATACCTAGATACCAAGATCCCCAGAGGGAACACATAGTGACAAACTAACAGTCTTTGGCATCCAAGGTACACATTATCTTCCTTTAATAAGTAAAATACAGGGGCATCTGCACACCTTTCTTGCACCTCATAGAGGTAGTTTAGAAGTAGCCTGTCAGTAGAAGAGACAACACAAAGTAGTGGTGAACTGTGCAGGGCTAGAGCTGCACTGTCTGGGGGCATCTAGTGCTTGCCAGTGGTGAGTAATCGGACCTCATCTGTAAAATATGAATATTCAGAGTACCTACCTCATAGAGCTGTTGGGAGCATTTAAAGAGCATATGGAAAGTACTGAGGATAGTGCCTGGCCTGGGGTTAATGTTCCATCAGTACTCCATCATCATCATCATCATCATCTCCACCATCATCACCATCATCAAAGCTCAGTTCTGTTTCCTGGGCTGGATTCCCTTGTTAAATGGAACATTGTTAAATGGCAACATTGGAAATCTCACTTTGGATAAAGATCCCACCACCTGTAATGGTGAGTCTGCACTGCATGGGGGAAGGGTGCAGAGCTGGGTTGACTTTCTGGAATTGCTTACATGGCAAGGTGACTTTGTGGAAGTGCCTTGAGAACCATGAAATGTATTACAAATATTAGTGTTATAGTTTTTGTTTTTCTTATACTTTAAAATCTAAAAACAATAATGTAAATATAATGCTAGTTCCCACTTATTTGATGACCTACCATGACTTAGATACTGTGCCCACTACTTTTCACAGGTCTACCCACTTTATCTTCTCAACACCCCATAAACTGAGAACTATTTCATCCTCATTTTAAGGATGAGGGAAATGATATTCAAAAGTCACTCAAGATCTCAAGAGTGGGGTTCAAACTTGGGTTTGTTGGCTCCCAGATCTATGATTTTAACTACTAAGTTATACTTGTGGGTTGAATATAAATATTCTAAGATGAATAAGATGCCAGTGGGTTCAAGATTTCCAATCAAATGCCAGCAATCCTGCTTTCGATTCTGAGAGTTCTGCCTCCGTCCCTTCGATAGGCATATCATGGCATCTCGCATCACAAGAGACCTGGCAATGCTCTGCTATTTAAGATTTCCTGATAATCATCTTCCTTTCCCTTGTTCCAAGTTAACCACATCAAGCTTAATTTGTCTACCTTGGAAGGATCCAGAGCAGTTGACCCTACTAAGATTTAAAATTACAATTCTTGAGACCATTTGGTTTTCTGGCTAGGACATCAAAACAAAATATAATACCCTCCACCCCCTCCTCCTCAAAAAAAAATCTGTTTTCTTTCTGAAATCAAAAAAGCACTCTGTAGGTAAGAAAAAAAGACAACAAGCAATAGCAGCTTCTTTTCCTTTAATATCCCAAAATATCTGTGTGAATGGGACTATGTTGCAAAACAAGGCAGAAATCTGTAGACAAGTACGTCCCACTCTGGGGAAGGAACTGATTGGAGAGAAGGCACCAGAAATTGCATCTCGTTGGATTACATGTAAACAGTAAATGTGGGGAAAGAGTCACTAAGGAGAAAGGAATTCACATTGTCACTTCATTGGCACATACTAAGGATGAACAATGACCTCTCTCGCTGACACTCCACCTCCGCCTTACATCATAGTGTAAACAGTACCTGATGCTAAGGACACAAACACCCGCACAGCGGCAGTGCAGAAGGGCACGAGAAGGAACTGACATAAGCAGAAGCCCCCAGGTCCTCTTTCCGTCTTTCCCACACGCTCCCAAGAGCATCTCAATTGGCAGTGCCTCAGCAAATGCACCTGTCATCAACAACTGGTGAGTGGGAAAATCAAATCCTAAAAAGCCTGGTTGAATACATGTTGTTTCCGTCTACGCTCTTCAATCAGATGACTTGGACGGGTTCTGGGTGGAGGGACGTACCGCATCTGGCCCATCTTCTTAGGTGATAACCGTGGGTGCAGTGCGTCCTGTCCTTTCCTGGAGTTGGGACACCTTCAGAGCGATGGAAATAAGGGGGGCCAACATGACCTGAGGGAGACACAAAGAGAAGAACCTTCTCCATCACTTTCTTTAAGCACAGATCCCTAGCTCCAGCCCTAACTTTGCCTCTGAGCTCCAGAACCATTTGTCTGACTGCCTACTCCCAGGTCTCCAAGGCCCTTTAGACTCTACAGGTCTAAAAACAAATACATGTTCTTTCCCCCAACACCTAGTCCCAGCATTCCCTATTTGCATGAATCAACACCACAGTATATCATGTAAAGTGAACACCTAACAGTCATTCTTGACACCCTCCTCTCCACCAGCCTCATGCCCAGTCTATCAGCAGGACTAAGACTTTTCACTTCTGAATATCTCTCAACAGCACCCATTTCTCTCCATCCCATTGCAATAACTCTCAGTAAGCCAAGGTTCTTTCTCTTAACTAAGTGCTGGTGCCTCCACATCTACTTTTGCATCCTCCAATTTGTTTCTTTTGCTGTACCCAAAGAAATCATTCAAAATGCAACCCTCCCTTCCCATACCTCACTTAAAAGGAAAAAAAAAAAGAAATAAATTCTGCTGCTTAAATAAATATTTTTTAATATTAAAAAAAAATAAATAAAACTACTGATATGGTCAAACTGCCCATTTTACAGATGAGA